CGCATTAAGTAATGCTATAAATAAGGCATCGACGAGGTTGCGTCTAGGCATGCTTTCTAAAAATTAATCAAGAAAGCCTTCGCGAAGGAGACAGTTATTAGCTATTCTATAATGGAATCCACAGTAGGTAGGACGTCAAAAATAGCTAAATGGACTATACATTGCGCAAAACTCTATTACAATGCTGGTATATGCAGTCGCATTTTTAAACCTTTTTTATTTATAGATTATATGTAGTATAGATAATAATATCAGCAAAATATCTTGACCACAAATTGCATTAAGCTCAAACGATGAATAAAAGAATGAATGGTTATAGATATAAGCACATGGCCTTCTTGAGACAATTAAACCATTGGAGGGATAAAATGGTTTGGATCTCTGTGAAAGGATTGCCCATGACTAAGGTTAAACAGGCTTGGTAATAGTGTTTTGCCTATACATTTAGGATACCCGAAACTAAATAAATGAAATGTAAGTAAAGAATCAGCGGCCAAAAGGTGCATAAATGAGAACGGTAGCCAAAGTAATTATTGCAATAAATAACAAGAGTACATTGCAAAACGTGGTCGAACAAGCAATCTTTTAAATCGTTAAAGAGCATTACGTTTGGTAAAATATCCATAAAAATATTAACAGCTAAAATGAGAAGGGGCAGTTAAACAACCCAATTTGGAATATATAAGATGAAAGCAATGGTCAAACAGTTTAACGAAGAAAGGTATCAAGGCCAAGTGGACCAACCTTGTCGGTTGAGATTGTCTTTATGTGTCTGAGACAGTCCTTGTCGGAAGGAAATTGGGTGACATTCTTGACGAGAACATAGCACACATTAACGTGGCCTTTTCGGAAGGCGGCCATCAGACAACTGACCTTTCTGTTATCCATGCTGTTCACATCGGCACCATAGTGAATCAAACTATTTACGACCTCCACGTGGCCACCTATGAGAAAAGAGAAAGAGGAGATCACGAAAACAATAAGGATAGAGGTTGATTGGACGGAAAATTTAAAAGACCGAATGATGGTCAAATCAAAAAGAGGCTGTGAGCATAACGTTCCAGGTCGATAAAATATTCTCTTACTATCGCAACATAACAATCTAAGTCGTAATGTGTGCGAATATATTTTGCGCATGCATATATAAATTCAGATGAGTGTATGCGCATGAATGTGAGCTGAGATTCGGCTAGTTCGATATACTTACCATTACAAGCAAGCCACAAAGGAGTTGCGCC